CCTCCCTCATTGAAAATGGAGACCTAGTTTACAGATCTGCATCAAAAACACTGCTCTATAAGCTTGATGTGATTCATCATGCAACCATCCGCTTTGTCACAGGTGCACCATTCACCACCCATCACCTCACACTTTACTCTCTGGTGAAGTGACCCTCACTCCACACCCACAGACAAACCACTGGTTATTGTTCATTTATAAATGGTTAACTGGTAAAACTCATCCTACCTCAGCTTACTCCTGCATATCCACAGCTCCAGACGCACACTGTGCTCCAACAGATACATAACCCTGGTCATTCCTAAAGCCCGCACAGCTTTGGACCATTCCTCATTTCAGTTTTCTGCAGCAAGTGACTGGAACCACCTTCAACAGACCTTAAAACTTAGTTTGTTTTTACCTCTGTCAACTTTTAAAAACTCCATCCAGAGTATTTTACAGGATAATTGCACATGTTTTTAACACTTTTATATCTTTAATCTGCAAATGTTTCACTGTCTTATATCTCTATTCACTGTTTTATTATAGTGTTATATTTGATGTGTGAATGTTTTCTGTTTGTGCTTTTGTTTTATATTGCCTCTTGGCCAGGTTGTCATTGTAAATGAGAAGGTGTTCTCAACTGACTTAACTGGTAAAATACTGAATAAATAATAATTAAAAAATAAAAAATAAAAAAAAACTAACGATCATTTTTCCAAGCAATTAGATTGATTAATTGATTAGTTGTATAGAATGCAAAAAAGCTGTGAATATGACATTTGAACTCATTTTGACTCAGATAAAACTGTAGTGAAACCACTTGATGGAGCAAAAAACATATTTTTCATTTTTACAGAGCTAGATAGTGATTATTCAAATATGTGTATGTATATATATATATATATATATATATATATATATATATATATATATATATATATATATATATATATATAGTGATAATTATTTCAGTAATTAATTTGTTGTTGTCCTTTTCCTACATGTGTTGTTACATTGTGTCCCTGGTTGATTGAAACTGCTGTGTCATATGTGATTAGAAAACATCCCGAATTGTTTAGCTTCAGAATAAGATCAAAATTATCACTATATCTTACAGAACCCTTTCAAAACTTCTGATTCTCAGTGAAGAACTGCAAATGTGTTTAGAAATTTCTCCTACAGTAAGTGATGTCTTTGTAACACACAATGGTCATTTTGGTCTTATTCTAAATAATTAGTGAAGTTGTCTAGTTATTATTTGACAAAAAATGTTGTCAAAATGAAGCAATATGTGTGTCACACATGCTGTACCTGGACAAATGAGGGATTACACTGTCATAAAGTATGAATGCATGGATTGTTATCTAAACCCATTTTGGATCAGGTCCTAAAATATGGCTATATGTTTAATATGCATTTTAATCTCTGCATCCAAAGAAAGACATGCATAAGAAAACAGTAGTGTGTGACACCCATATTTTGGTTTGGAATTTTAAAGAAAATTTGACCAGATTTTATGTTGGTAATCTCTGTTCTTGGTGCCAGCTGTGTTGACATACATCCCCTTACACACTGTCCTCATGTGCACTAGCCGGGGCAAGAGAAAACCCCTCTGTGTGTGTAAAGGAAAGGGTGGGTGGGGGTTGGACTGGTCTGAGAGTCTGTGACACGTCTTATCGGGCCTTTAATCAGGATCTCACACACAAATACTAGTCCCCAAGTTACCTCCTCTCCCCAAAAACTGTTAGTCAGTATATTGTCATAATGTGGTTAAGTGACATCAGTTTCATGGAAATATAGGGAACATTGTAGAAAATATTTGAAAATATCACAGAAATGTATATTGTTACTACAGTATGCTTTTGTGGCGTTCATTACTTAAACATGCATTGGTTAGTTTTGTTCTCAAAATGTACTGGAAATATTCACAATGCAACCATGGTACAGTATTTATGCACTGCCCCCTATTTGTCTCTTTGCCCATTCATTCATTGCTTATGTTTCAAGATCATGAAACAAGTGAAAAAAGAACAACTGCTTAAAAAATAACAAACAAACAAAAAAAAATAATTGCTGTTCAGTTTGTTTCCTGACATAAGGAAGTGTTTTACAGATTTACCTTGATGTAAAACACACTGTCAGTGGCATAAATATGTTCGTAACCCAATGACAGATACTGTAGCTTTATATGAATGCTGGTGAATCATGTAAATGATAAATCTAACTAAAGCCAAGTGTGGTGGCTCTTGAAAGACCAGGGGGACCTAGGTAGTTGTCAAACTGTTACTCCCCATCGTTACATCACAGTATATTAGTATTGTATGCTTGAATAATGTGAAGAGCCAGCTGCTTGTGCAAGCTTTTGTGGTTTACCTCATCGTGGAGGGGCTTCTAAGTCAGCTGAAGTTTCATGTTCACAGGTATTTTGTTGATGCATGGCTTTGCCATTTGTTTGTGACTTTCCATTTCATTGTACCCCAGTACTTAAGGTCTAGTCTACATAGACTGTAAAACCACACTCTGGGTAAATGACCATGGCTTGAACCCCATAGAGAGTCACCTGACCATTTTGTAAAAGTACACAACATTTGTGGTTTGTGTGGGTGATTAGAAATTCCTGTGAAAGCCGTAGTGTTACTATTCTAAAAACAGCTTGTTGTTATTGAATACTACTCTAGTGGGCGGAAGTCTTGTGGGTCTTCCTCCCCCTGCTGTTTGCACTGTCTGGCCTCTAGCACGTTTGTTAGCACGTGTACCGCTACTTTTCCACCTGTGAGGACAGAAGCGAGGATCTCTCTAATCAAGAAAAGAAAGTCTGGTTCTATTACGGTAAGAGTGGAGGAAGAGAGCAGAGGCACTGTGGGTGGGGGAAATCACCTGACCTGGTCCACCGTAATGCAACAGTTGGAATCCCAACGATCCTCAAAACATTGTTAAAATGACATTCAAATGGTGAATTATATTAATGTATCAAAATAAATTAAAACTGAAGATTGCCACTGATTAATAGTAGTTAAAGCATTAGTATATTTATTTATTTATTGTTTAATCTTCAATACCAATTCTTTGCAGTGTCTGCATAGTAAGTCAATAAGCAATCATTTTTGGTATGGTGGTCTCAACAATGATTTCATCTTAAATATCTTGCAAAATAAAATACAGCATTAATTTATGTATGTCTTCAAATAGCATTGAACACACAAACAAGGATTACATTGATGTAATGATCTGCCTTAGATATAATGAACAGAAAAATAAAAACACAAATTTTAAACTCCCATGACTGATATCAACATTTTGCAGAATAGCAATAGTCTACAAATTCTCATAGGGTTTTGAAAATCTGCTTATTCAGTTACATTGCTCTTCTAACTGTAAGAAAAAGGCAGCTCAACATCCGCTTATTACTTACCTTTTCACAAACCATGTAAGTAAGTCACATGAATTTATAGAGCGCCTTTCACAGAGATCATTTTACAAAGTGTTTTACAGATAACAATTATTTGCATTAATAAAATAGATAAAATGCATAAACATAAAATACAATACAAATTCAACACATGCTTTGAGATTGATCTGTGAATGCTGATGTCTTTGTCTAATTTAAAGCAATAAATAATAATTACTCAGATAAAGCAATGAATCCAAATTAATGTGTTGTGTATATTCAATATATGATCAATGTGAATAGGTTAATAGAAATATACAACATAAATAGCAGATGATAATCTACTTACCTGTAATGCATGCACTTGACTTCTGCCAGAAACTCTTATTTAATATATATACAACATAAATGGCAGATGATAAGCTACTTACCCGTAATGCAGGCACTTGACTTCTGCCAGAAACTCTTTTTTAATATAGATTTATCTTCATCTAATGTGGCTTCAAAAATGAGTTGTCTGCATCATAGTGAAAACTCTTTGACATTAAGGGGTTAATAATTTATATGTCTTTTACCAGTAGCCTTTGATCACATAGTTGTTTTGGAATCATTTTATGGGAAAACTTAACTCCCACTGCTATTCGCTTTATGTGAAGATTTAACCACAGCCGCGGGGGAAAAACGCTCAGATGAGGGGCTGGAGAGCTAAATACACTCTTGCACAAAAACAACATCTAATACGCATTGGAAAATTCAGTTTGACAACGTCTTAACATTTTGTTATGAATACTGCAGCCTACTTCTCAAAGTCAAAGTGGTGCAATTTTAACAACAAAGAATTTGTGCAATATAATGATCAGGTCTCCTCATTTAATTATTGTTTTGGTTATGGAGACATATTAACTTTTTTTCTTACCAAAAACCTCACTTTTCATTTATTGCACTTTGACCTTAAATTACTGAACTATATTTGAGTCATAATGGACAAAATGATGATCTAAACCTGGCCTTTTGATCTCTCTCATCTCTTTTGATTCCTTGTTTTGAGTTCTTGAAATGTCTGAATTTATCCAAAAGAATGTTTAGGTTAAAACAGGAAATTCTGCCAATTCTTTTTCTACAATTTGTGTGATTTTTGTTTTAAATTGTTTTTGTCAGAAATATTCTCCAAAATAACTGACGACTTGGAAAAATACGTCAGCAGTATCCGGTTGATGTTTGGGCTCTAAAAGCCGACTTCCGTGCGCACATATTAATCATCAGGTGCATATTTCCTACAAGATAATACTGTTTATACAAATGTAGTTGCATTAAGTTGATCCCTATACCGTGAGTGAGAGTTTTAGAAAGTTACTCATCTTCACGTCTCACTTGTCATTTCGAAGTGCGAGGTGAACTTAGTCACAAACTTTCACTGTCTGGTCTGCAGCATCTGATCTGTGCCTCTGTTTACTTGAGACATTGTGTGCATGCCTTGAATAACCTTGACTGATTTCAGTAAGTGCTATATAATGAATGATAATGAATAGTTGGTCAATTAGAAAGTAGCAGTGTTCCTGCTAACTTTTGGTCTTGGTCTTTTGGTTATGCTTGTATCACTGCAGATGCTTCATTCCAAGATACCAACAAATTTATACCATGAAATTTTATTTTTCTTGCATCATAAAAATCTGTACGGTTCACACTTAAAAATATTTACAACTTCAGGTGAAAAAATATTGAGTATATCAAAAGCAAGTGTATAAAGACCAGAGAACACTATTTCATATAGTAGATAGGATAGATTCAATATAAATTGGTCTTTTTCATTATTCTCAGAAATTCTTCCTCGCTGACTTCTCCGTCTCCATCTCGGTCAGCCTCATCAATCATGTCCTAGACACAAAACACTGGTTTAGCAGATACAAACTTATGTTAGCCTTTTCAATTATTCAATAACTCTTATCTTTTTACATTACGTAAGTAAGTAAGTATTGCTAAGTACGGTAAGTAAGTATAGCTTAATATAGTACTGATATATAATGTAGGCTGATAAAAATGCTCTCTACATTACATGAATAAACCATGACACAATGTTTTAAGATTTTAAATGTTTGGACTAGTGCATAGTATTTACAATTAAAACAGATCTCTTTTTATTAATGGTCATTACCAGGAATGTTTTTTTTTTATTTTTTTTATTAATGTTTGCATTTATGGTGATTTTATGTATGCATATTGAAGCTTAAATAGCACCTGATGTCATGGACACTTGTGTTAGTCACAGACTCCTGATATATGTTTAAATCCATTTCATATTTTTTTCTTTTGTTTTTTTTTTTGACTGTATTTGCTTAAATGTGCATTGTGCAACCATGGAAAGTCCTAAACATTCTGCCATAGAGATGCATGTAAAACACCCCCTGCGTGATGTCACTGCAAAGTGTCAATCTTCATTGGTGTAACAGTGGTGTTACAAATTGTAAATGCTTCTGTAGCCTGTTTAGTAAGTGCCATGACACATACCTGTAACTCATCATCTCTGAGATTTTCTCCCAGCTCTTTTGCAACGCGCTTAAGATTTTTGAATGAGATTTTGCCCGTGCAGTCATCGTCAAACAGCCGGAAAGCCTTTAGGATCTCTTCCTTGGAGTCCTTTTCACTCTGATGAAACAGTTGTAAATAAAGTCTTGTGATTGGACTTATTTGATTGCTTTTATATCTCACTTTTGCACCTTACACACCATTTTAGCGGTCATCATGTTGAGAAAGTCATCAAAGTTAATTGTTCCAGAGCCTTCTTTATCAATATCTGCAATCATCTTCTTGATTTCTTCTTTTTTTGGCTCAAAACCAAGGGCTCGCATAGCCACCTGTAGAAAGCAGCATAGAATAAAAACAACCTATTAGAATGCCAATCGTGAGTAGTAGCTAATTGTAGCTAAGTAATAAGCAAAATGCACACTTTAAGTTCTTTAACATCAATGACGCCAGTCCCATCAGTATCAAACAGATCAAAGGCGTCTTTTATTTCCTGCTTTATTTCTGCAGTTACATCGATTTTAGAAGCAGCCCTTTTCTTGGATTGTCCAGCGGCGCTCGCTGATTTCCGGTAGCTCGAAGCCTGAAGAATGTTGGAAACAATTAAGATGATTTAGGTGAAAAAAAAAAATAAAAAAGCAAGCGTTAAGTCACAACTAATCAACTTTGTTTGGCCAAATGGCTTGCTAGCTGTAAGCTAGCCTCAGTGTAGATTTTTCCAGAAATTCAGCAACTTCCTTTAACTCTCATCCATTTATAGTTTTTCAAATAGCACACACAAAGCATTACTTATAAAAACAAACGTACAAATTCACACTTACCATTTCAATAAACGATATATTCTGAGTGATATATACACAGAGAGAAATGTGCTCGCTTCTCAGATGTCAACAAAGTCTGCTCCAACGGAAACTCTCTTATTTGAGTGACAGCCAAATTATCCAATCAACAAACTGGAATCCCCCCCTTAAACCAATGATGATGTTTGAGGGGCGGGTCTTTAGTTTATCCGCCAATAAGAAGAGAATAATTCTTGTCTCCTGGCAACCGGAACATAACGCATGCGCACTACGCAGTATTGTGTTCTAGCACATCCAGTGCTGTCTGCCGAGTATCCTTTATAAACACACATCCTTTATAAAGGTAATTTAAAACATTTAATCAATGTATAGGGAGCGAGAACGTTTATATTCAGTCTTGGGGCCATTTACAACCTGTACAACAAGAAAGGAGACATTAGTTTTATCAATCGAACTACGATTTAGATTTATCTTTGCTGTCTGTCTGTGGCCTCTTTCCACTGCCTAAACCACAAGTTAATGATATCCGAACATGTCTATTTTCTGTTCACTACGACCTTTTGCGGATGTTTAGAGCCGTACCTGTAATTGGCGCCAATGCATCGTTTTTTTTCTTCTTCTTCGTTACATGATCTCTATTTGAAAATATAATACTATTTTTTTTTATTGTAAGATGTCAAGCAGTATTAAGTGTCACTGCTTGCATCTGAATTGCCATCCTTTCATATGTTATTTTTGCATCACCATCCCATGTGGGTTAATTTTATAATTGCAGTGTTAGTGTTATCAGACAAAACTAATTTAACATTTTTCATTTCATTTCAGTTCTTTGAAGCTATGGCTGCAAGTACTGTCCTAAATCAGCGTCAACATGTAGGCTTGCAGACACTGTCAGCACTGTCTGACATTACTACACAATTTTTGGGTCCTACCAAAACCTTTAAGATCATTCAAGATGACGCGACCAGTGAATCTGCTCTAGTATCCTCATGTTATCGGGTTCTAGAAAATCTAGAACTGACCGGCGCTGTCAGTCAGCTGGTTTACGAGACTGTAGAAGCCCATCACAAAATTTATAAAACTGGTTCTGGATGCTTGCTATTCATGGCTGGGGCATGGAGTCGTGCCGCTTTGGAGTGCCTACACAGAGAAATTCCAATTGCACATATAATATCAGCCATGTCAGAAGGAATGACCCTGTGCCTAAGTACTTTCATGCAGTGTGTCATCCCAAATAAAGAACTTTACACAAAACTAAAATCTCAGCCTAATAAATCTACTGTGAAGGATTCTGCAAACCAACAACTGTCATCTAACAAGACGCAAAGGAAACTAAAGCTAAGTCGGCATTTTCAGGAACCAGAATTTGAAAATATTTCCATAACTCCCAAACCTAAAATAGAAAAGACAAAAATATCTGACATTGGAAGGACGTTAAGTCATGGCTACTCCGAGGCAATGGATTTAGTAGTGAAAGCTAGCCAAATTCAATACAAAGAAGATCTAACATTTGATGTGGACAAAATTTCAATTTGCTTACTGCCTTGCTTTGCTGAGACTCACAACTGTGTTTTGCCAGGTTGCATTGTACCTGTATGTCCAGAACAAGCTATTATTGCACGCAACTTTAAAAAACAAGATTTAAAAGTTGCACTTATAGACGGTCATTTGACATCCACTTTCCGCCATCTTGGTTACAACAAGGCAAAGAGACTACAACGTGTCTCTGAGTATTCAAGTTCAGACGGTCATCAGGAAGAATGGTTGGAATGCATTGTAAGACTTCTGCTAAACTTGGAAGTGAATGTTCTTCTTATTAGCGGAGTTGCTGATGAAAAACTAAAAGACCACTTTTGGAAGCATAACATTCTTGTTGTAGAAAAGATGAGACTTTCTGTTTTGAAAACATTTGCTTTGTCAACAGGTGCCATATTGGTGTCTTATGCCACACAGTTGAATTCAAGATGTATTGGAACTGGAATCACTGTCAATTTATGGAAAGATTTAAGCAATTTTGCCAACAAATCAAATTATGGAACATATCTGAACATTTCTACCATTGAGAAAAGCGGCTTGGTAACTGTTGTGCTTTCAAGTTGGGTACAGGGGAAGTTGCAATCTGAGGAGGACGCGTTCTTGGCATGTGCTTACCGTTTACACTGGGCATTAAAAGACAAATCTCTTCTTCCAGGCGCTGGGGTGACTGAAATGTATTGCATCTCTGAACTGCAAAAGCAAGCACAACTCTATGCCAGCAGTCACAAAACTGTCCCACCAAGGACAGCTGCTGGCCCTTATACTGGTGTAGTGTTGCAGCTCATGGCAGATGGTTTCATTGACTTTGTAACCACTGTGATGGTCAACACTGGGAAGTATTCAAAAGTGGAAGCCAGGACTGTTGTGGTGGAGCAGTTACATGGCTTGGATGGAAGTGTTAACAGTGCAAAGATGGCCCAAATGTGCTTAAAAGATGATGAGGTGGACAGTGATTGCAACAAGAGCGCTATCTGTGATAATCTAACAGTGAAGCAGGAAGTGTGGAGGAAAGCACTGGATTTGGTTTTCTTGGTTTTACAAACTGATGCAGAGGTTATAACAGGCTTGGACCAAAAACAATTGGAACAAAGGGATCTTATGATTTTGTAACAGAAATGCTTTAAAGTCACCTCATGAAACCTTGATTTAGGTACTAAGCTTTTTAGTCACCAGTGCTTTGTTCTTGTGAAGACACTTTTATTTATTTATTTTTTTTGCTTTAATAGTTTCCCTGTTTAACTTGAACTAGAAAAGATTTGATATGTAAAACCAACTTCAGGTGATTCACTATACAAGGGGCAGACTTCTGTGCATAGGTAGCAAGGAACAATATTGCACATTGAAATGAATTTCATTTTTCACCACATGGTGGAGACAAACTAGTGCGTGTAAACCTTAGGAACTAGACAGCAATACAAAGCAATTTATGAAACTTTTAATTGATTCAAGCTTCTGATTTCTGTTTTCTTTATACTGAACAGAATACAAGCTTTTAAAATTGAGAATCTAAATAGCACTGAGTGCATATTACATGTAACTTCAAATATCAGAAATAAAAATTATTACTTATAAATATCAAATTTCAACTTTTGATATTTTACTTGTTTTTATCAGTAACTAACATATCAAATTTCAACTTTTGATATTTTACTTGTTTTTATCAGTAACTAACTGTAAAAAGCTCAATGCTGTAATAAGTATATTTAACTATATCTCATTTCCCCCCAAATGATATCCCCTGAACCCTAGTGATTATAAACCTTCTATTTAAATTTTAATTTCACAGTTTTTTTTTTCTTTAGTTTTTGTCAAGCTCATAAGAGAGGCTTTCACCAGGCTGCCCGTTGTCTGCTTCTGATAGTTTCCCCAATATTCTGTTTCCCATAATGCTCTCAGTTTCTGTTGAGCTAAGAAAATATATAAGTAATATATAAGTATTCATTATTAGTAAATTGAAGCATTTATGGAGGAGTGAAGATGCTTGTATATTTGAAGTTTACAACCGTCACACATTGCTGGCTTTATTAAATTCCTGTTGGCCTGCCCTTTTCATAATGAAATGTTCCACTGACTCAGATGTAATGGATTCTGTAGTTTTTTTTTTTTGTTTTTTTTGTTTTTTCATTGTTTCTTGGTATCCTCTAATTTAGGTGACACAAGTGACATAGCTTTAGGTGACATAATTGTTGGTGTCATTACACCTCCACTTGGTGGAGGAAGTGATGGGTCAGTATCAAAAGCTTTCCCTTTTCTAAATATAGGCCCAGACGTGTTAAAAAACATTTGATGCCGTCAGAACTACCTTGACTCACGGAGGAGGAGTGGAGTGCACTGCAGTTTAGACTGAGTGCAGCTAGTAGCTGTGGAACAGAAAAGTGCCCATTCTGACAGTTGTAATATGCCATATTCACACCACCCACATACTTCCACAACAAATCTACATATTTGACGGCCTATTAGTCCCACCAAATAAATAACTGAAGCTTAAAATCCTGAAATTTTTGTTCTAATTTTAGCCAGTAGCACAATTTCTTTCTAATTTCAAATAAAATGCATTTAGGTTGCCAGAACAAATATTTTGTGATGACTTTCATGTTATAGTGATGATATATTTTACATATACATTCTATGTAATCACCATTGTTTGTTCAGGGCATCGTAAGTGTACAGTAACAATATATTTTGCAAGTATAATGAATGCAAAAGTCATAGTAAATGTACATTATAGTTGGAACTACAAAGATTTATTGCGGTTTTCACAACTCATGTATTTAAAGTTGGGACAAGTATTCAATCCTTCTGGCAGTCTAGGTTAAGTCTGCATGCCCTCCCAGTCCCTGTGAGTTCTCTTACTGGGTACTGTTTCTGCTGTTACCCTCTACTCAGACTGAACAGATAGAAAGTAATAATAGCCCAAAAGTCACCCTAATTAGCACTAAATTAAATTAACTTTCTGTTGTGTTAACCATTTTGTTCTGAGTTCTACACCTGCCCATGTTGTGAGTAAAACTGCCACTGCCTTCTTGGATGTCACGTGCTTCAGCACTGGGGGAAAAGGGTCACCAGCTCCAGCCAACCTTTCAGATGTGGTCCCCTCCAACAGCCACAACCCCACTTCAGAACAGAAGGCTAGTCTATTTCAAAAGCAAGTACAAAAACATTCTGCCACATCCAGAATTTCTTTTTTCATGTAAATCTCATGCCATTTCCCATTCAAATTTTTCCCCCCAAACGCACATGAATGAATTAAGTCTTTTCTTTTGCAGGCTTCATGAATGACAGTGCTTCCATTCCCATGATGTCTGTTGCTTTTGGCACTGCGGTGAGTACTGCAAAATCCTCAAGCTATTCACCCTGTTGGTCGCTCAGTTAAATCTTTAAGCATAAGTGGGCGTGTGTGTTACCACTCCACTGCTAGGGCGCATGCGAACTAGAGGCCCGAATGGGGAAAGCCTCCCTTCAGATCTAAGCCAGCTGCCTTGATTTAACCACTCCATTATTGCAAGCCAGAGTATAAGGGAACTCATGCAATGCCTTGAACCACCTCTACCTATGCTGCTACTCTGCTTTGCTATTTTTAGGGTCAACTTGCTGGACGTCAAAGGGCACTTGTTTGGAAGGGGCTACAAACAAACTGACCCCAGGAGGTGAAGGAGTTAGTGGAGGAGGGGAGTGGGAGGAAAAGTAGGGGGGAGGGCTGGTGGTCCCAAAAAGCAAATAGCAGAAGAAGCAGCAAGAAGAGGTAACCGGAGGAGATGGCTACTGGTGAAATCACAACCCTGCCCCCCTCCACTGAAGATGGCGGTGCCGGTGGTCTCACTCCAGGGGCTTTCAAGGAGCCCAAAAGATTGTACTGCAAGAATGGAGGATACTTTTTGAGGATAAGGTCCGACGGAACCGTGGACGGGATAAGAGAGAAGAGCGACCCTCATAGTAAGTGCCATTCGCAAGCACAGGCCACACAATGCTGCTTTCTGTGGCCTCTTCAGTAAGCAATAGGAAAGTAAAAGTAGAAGGAAGTAGTAGAGGGAAAAGATGTGGATTTTCCAGACACTTACACAACTGTTTGGGAGCATGTGTCTAGGTTTCAGGAAAAAGTAGCAACACTTTAAGACAAATGCCACAGGAAATGGAATAGTAAAGAATTTCAATGAGTGGTTGGGATGAATTACTATTGCTTTAATTTAGGATGTAATTAATTTAGCTGTAAGTCAGACTTTGTCACTAATGGTGATATGAACTTGCTTCAATGAATATTCACAAGATGATGCCATCACCATGTCATAGATTTGAACTGCTACACTTGGCATCTCTCCATTTAAAGCTCTTGACCTTATTCAAATAGATTTCCAGGTTATAGAAACATTATAAGCAACCTAACACCTGGATTTGGATATATACCAGTTAAATAAGCAAGTAGCCAATATACTCTATTCACTTACTGACAGATGGTGACAGACCTAGTACTTTTTCTTTAACCTTAATTAAACCAGGAAGTCCTGTTGAGATTCAGAATCTCTTTACATGAGAAACCTGGTCAAGGTGGCAGCCAACAAAAGCTACACATTGTAAAAACAACTGCATCTCTCAAGAAAAACATACGCACATGTCTCAGTCACCACACTCTTAACAATTTTCTTGAACTTATCAAATGGCACTAAATCAAAATAGCTTGTTAATGATTATTAAAATACAGTAAATATAGAGCACATCACATGCCGTATGCCATGAACTGGGAAATATGCATGTTATGTTGTATCTATACTCTGAACCACAAGTATTTATTAGGCTGGTCTGAAATTCTATTAAAGGAAACAAACACTACAAACGGCTGTGCACTACTCAGGATACTCTGACATCCAAGCAGGTGTCCTCAAATTAGCCACTAATCCAAGTGCCCGTAGTAAGCAGCTATTTTTACACTCTAAACGCCTGTGTTACAGCTAGCTTAAGACCTTCACCTTGTTGAATTCTCTGTTTGGTTGAAAAAGTCCCTATGAGTCACCTAACTTAAATAGTATTAATCATTAAACTTTTTCGTAATAATAGTTAACATGGAGTCTGTGTGACCTAGCCTGAGCTTCTTCAATGGATCCTTTGTTAAAAGTGGGAAAAAGCTGCCAACATTGCACCACATGTGTTTCTAATGCTAAGGAAGCAGAGCCATAGTAATCACAATAATAGTCATTGTACAGAATGATCAAGTGAATGAAATGATAAACCACAGTTTAAACGGTGATTATGCTTTAAGCACCATTTATACCATACCAAAAGCAAGATTTGACAAATACTAACCACAGTATTGTCCATTGGTACAATGAGTTTAAAAAGGCAGTTAGCAATAGTTGTGAAATCCATACAAAATAAACCAACCACATATCTGGACCACACTGCGTCATAACAAGAAAAGCTTAAGAAAAGTTTGCCCACTATTGACATTATCTGTGAGACTGGAACACGGAATACACCAATCGCACATGTTTGAATGGAGCAGCCCTCTTTGATGTGAACCATGAGTGATCCAGGCCCGGGCTAAGTGCACACAGATGCACACGATCATAACACAATGTAGCGTCATGTGGGCTCATCTCATTCAGTTTACTGAGGCCATTGCTTCCTTTTTTTTAGTTTAACTCTAGGGTAGACCCAGTGCAGTTTTTCTGTAAGTGAGGGTATCTATCTACTTTTAATAAGCATCTTGTAAACTAAGGCCAAATGATTCATGCGAAACAAATGAAAATCACAACTTGAATGGTAGCAACTTGAATGGTAGCACAGCCTGGTAGGTTTACAGCGTGTAATTTCCACCACAGAACAGATACTGTGACATATGACACACAACAGTGGCATTTAACTATACTGTAGTGAAAAAAAAAAAGAAAAAAAAGCAGTGATAACTACATTGACCTAATGTCAGTACAGTCTACATGAAGAAAATACTGGTATTAAACTTTAAATAAATACATTTTAAAACTTTCTCTTTGGAAAGACATGTTTTATCTGAAATGATTAGTTACATCAATATGCAAATCGCACACACTCATCCTGCTAGCAAACACAGTATAGTCCCAAACTACCATGAGCTTCTCTTCCAATGTCAACAAATCTTTTGACACTCCAGGCTTGCCCACATTCTTACTCTGATTCCATGGAAGTCCACAGAAGCATGCGCCCAACTTTTTCCTAAGATGCTCACCCATTACACTAGCTGCAATATATTTTTGTGTTAAATATTAAGGTTGAATGATTTGAAGTTAATATATGAACCGTCTTGGGTGTTTTTCTGCTATGTTTAGTTTCCTATGCTTTCCGTATCTGTGTAGATTGATAATTATTCATTACAATAGGCCTATGTTTTTGTTGACCTTTCTGGCCCAGATAGATGAAGAAAAAGACGATAGCAACTTGGGTTCAAGAAACCATGATCTATGCTTTTGAAAAACTCACATTCTTTGGGATGGCTGTTGATCTTGGCAACTGAGTGAGGCATACCAACATCTATTCCAAGTGGATATTACATTCAATGTGGACTCCATAATGGTTTTGTTTCACACTAACCTGTGAACATTGTCAAGATCTCTTCACAGTTATTTGTCATTTAACATTTAAGAGGCTGTTAAACTAGTTTGCACAAGCTGTCACCAGTATTCAATTTCCTGTTGAACTCCTTCATTCCTGTTTAAGTAGTTCACTTGAAAATTGCATTTATTATAAGATGACTCAGTGTAGTGGAGTACATGATAAATAAGCCTTTTTATTCTTTTACAGTAAAGCTTCAGCTACAGGCGACCTCAGTGGGGGAGGTGGTCATCAAGGGGCTGTATGCAAACCGTTATCTGGCCATGAACAGAGATGGACGTTTGTTTGGAGTGGTGAGTCACATTAGTGCATCGTTTCAGCTTTGCCTTAAATCCAACTTCAAGCTATACCACGTAACTTTCTGGAAGTGACATATCACCTGAATGATTCCATGGAAATAGAAAGTTAAATCTATACGAGAGACTATGTTTTATGCCATACAGTGGATTATTAAAACCAGAGGAACGATATTTTCATGGAAACAAGCAGAAGGAGGCCTTCCTCTAGGTCAAATAAGAATCAAGTTTGTATAGATGAAAGGCCACTTACAGTGAGGGCGTTTGCTTTTCTATGTTTCTCAGTGCAATAAATCAAAAATGAAGAAGCTTTTATTCTAGTCTATTTTTTGGCTAAATGTTACACCTGGGGTTTCGACATTCCGACATTTTTAAATGCTCCTAGTCCAAATACAAGTCCTGCAACACCACGACATTGACACAGACTTACAAACTGATAAGACACAGTTAACTTTGACACAGTTAATTGTGTCTTATCTCTACATCTCATCCTAGTCCAGCAGCCTGTTGCAGCTGAGCACCAGTGTAAAGAAGGCGCTGATGTGGTTTAGAGGTTGTCATGGCTTGTCCACAGTCCATATAATGAGCCAGAAGCATTTCCTCTAAATGAGAGGCTGCAGCTGTGAGCAGCCACCCAGGATCACTCCACTCTGCTACTGCTTCTGTGGAGGAAGTCATTACAGGTTTTAAGATGTGGCACTACACAGCACGGAGCTACAGTGTTAAGTGTCACTTATCAGTATATTAAGGGCATATGCATTGCAAAAATAAGTTTCAGTGATGTTAGTTGCAAGGCCATTGCCCCATACTTCTACCAAAAACACAAACAAATGTCTAGTGTGGGGTGTATGGGAGTTACACCCAGTGAGATGAACTCTGGCCAGATGTGCAGCAGTTTGTTTTTCTGTTTGGACAGTCCTTAGCAGCGCACTATTTGGTCCATTATGTTACTGTGTCACAGAACATGACTATTAGAAATTCATGTTTTATCTACAGTCATTTATTAAATACATTTACATTAAATACATTGAAGACCAAAGTCCCTTTCAAATCCTATAGATCAGTATAAGTCACAGCAGCATTATTGAGTTGTCCTGAGAAAACAATGTTTATTGCACTTTGAGTGAATGATTCTTCTGGTCCACAGAGACGTGCCACAGACGAGTGCTACTTCTTAGAGCGCCTGGAGAGTAACAACTACAACACATACAGCTCAAAGAAGTACCCACACATGTATGTGGCCCTCAAGAGGTCTGGACACCACAAATCTGGAAACAAGACCAGCCCTGGTCAGAAGGCCATCCTCTTTCTGCCCATGTCAGCCAAGAGCTAATCTGTGATGTGATTAGGAAAGAACAACCAATCATGTTATGGCGATGGACACCAATGTTCCGTCAGCAACGCCAACAGCAACTGTGATACTTCTCCTTGTGCTGTTTGTGGAACATGTCTGGCTGCTTCCCAGTCAAACCAGGACATTACTGGTGGGGTTACCCTGCAGGCTACAACACTGAAACTGCAGTCAGCATTTTGTGATTTATGATGTGAAGCATGCAGATGTCTCTCCATTACTCCTATTGAGGTAAATCAACAAGACCAAAATATACCATCATCTGAAAATATAAAGTCATTACTATGGATTTAAAAGGCAAGTTTACCCATGCTTAGATGGCAAGGACACAACAGTGATTTTTTTTGTGTGTTATACACAATGACCTAAATTAAAATCTCAAAAATTCTATGTTTCAACTTATGCTGATAGAAAGATGCTTGGCAACTTGCCTAAAACCCAGAAGGCAAATAGCCTTCTAAAAAAATCTACTATATTTTAAGGGTCTATCTAAAAATCTAAAACTGACCCAGTGGATGGACTGCATTTTCTTTGTTGTGACCTGTTTTGGCTGTTTATAAATGTATTAGAGCTTAAATTACTGTAACAGCATGTGCCATAATCGCTAAGAGATATCTAGGCCTTCTTATTGGGTAGTGGTCGGTGGTAGAGCTGGTAGAACATGCCTGAGTACACAGCGGGCATCTCCTCCATAGTGAGGTCAATATGGCTGAATCCATGCTCCACACCGTACAACAGCAGACGAGCCACTCTGGAGGTGATAGGGGTGGTGTCCGCAGTCCGGGCCAGCTCCTCCAGGGGGAGCCACTCACAGCGCAGACACTCCTGTGGGCAGAAGTTGATGTGGTAGGACAGAGGCCTGAGGCGGCAGATCAGGTACAGGTCGGACATGCCAAAAGCCCCGGGGTGGTTGTGCTGCTGCCGAATACTGAGCAGAGACCTGAACTGTGAGTGCACTCCAGTCTCTTCCAACACCTCGCGCACCGCTGTGGCACCTGGGAACAAGACACAACTTATGTGTATATAAGACACGTGCTGCTTTAGGACAAGTCCTACTTTATGAATGTAGAGTTTTAGATTAGAGCAGGGGTGTCCAAACTATAGTCCGGGGGTCCAAATCTAGCCCTCCAGCAATTTTTACTGGCCCTCAGGCTCCCTGCTGAATTAATCCAATCTGTCCCAATTGATCATTGGCAGATTTTTATTTTTAATTTTTTACTATAAATTAAGTAATTCTAGCACAATTACCTCAATAGAATCACACTGCATTGTGATAAAAACAAACAAAACAAACAATAAATACAAAAATTACTGTCCTAAGCCTCTTTAAAGATAGTGTGGTGCTATCATAGCTGTGTAAAATGCACCAATGTGAATGACTGACTGTACTGACACTGGTCTGTGACCCATCCACTTCAAAAATATTTCAATATATGACCCCCCAGTGAAGGTTTGGATACCCCTGGATTAGAGGTACTCTATTAACTTGTTTGAGTCAGTTCTGCTCACCAATATTCTCCCCTGGATCAGACAGACCTCCAGGGAACTTCCATGCATTCTTTGTCTGAAATGACAGTGAAAAAGCACAGTTAACTCAGCTTAAACAAAGCTATGTATCCATGTTTCATATAATGCTTTTAAATAGAAGAACCAGTAAAGATGTGTTTTATTTAATGTTACATATGTGCCTTTTGAATTTCACACTTGTGTTTTTTGTGTGGCTTACACTTCACTTTGGTCATATTGAACAACGCTGCTGATTAAATTATACCAGTGCTGTATAAACTTTATTTTTTTAGCTCTTTACAAATGTTGAATGCTGGGTTTATTATCAAGATAGATGTCATGTAACATTTTATTGTATTTTTGAATGGTAAAAAATGCACTACTATACTTGTGTATGGAAAAGCTGAAAAATGTGTATTTATATTCCTGAATAAAGGGGCATAAGAAAATTCATTGTTGAGTCCCCATATCTCAAATTATATATAATAGAATTATTACAGCTGGGGCTCTCTTACACCAAACTGACATACAGTACTTGCAGATGATAAAAACGTCTTAGCCACTAACTGCTTCACTCTGGGTTAAACACATTCTGGGCTTGGACACGTGTTCTGTTATGGAGATCTGTCAACAGCACTTTAAAGGTGCTGTATCCGATTTTTACTATGTCTTAAATCATGACAAACAAAACTACTTCATGTTTAACAATTTGTGGTCCAAAGTTATTCCTCACTTACCTTAGGCATTCTGAGCATCCTGATTATTCACCATGATGAGTTTATAGGTGCCTTTCACTAATCTTGAGATTAGATGAGAGTTTTTCCTTGATGGTAAAGTTATCAACAGCTAGCAAGCTAACATGCACTTCCTGAGTATTAGACTGTACACATTTTCTAATTAGATGCAGACCGTAGAGAGTGAGCTTATTTTGACCTCAAGAGCTGCTTATAGAATATATCTGTGCAGAGTCAAGACAAATTCTGCTCAAATACATGGGAGAAAATCTGTTGCAAGCCCTTTAAAGTGTATTTATTGTTCAGAATTCAACTTAGCTGCCTTGCATTACTAATCATCAACAACTTGTCAACTTCCCAGGAATTCTCTCTCCAAAATAGTGAGCCTGTTTGTCTGTATAGCATGCAGGAGGCTTAGTGATGTGGAAAAGCTGTGAAATTATATCCAGTTTGGGACCAGTTGTGCAGATAAACACTGATAAATAGACTTGTTGTGAGAGGGGTGGTGCTCCGGAGCCCCACAGCACTAGCTCTGTTATATGAAGCACACTGCAGGGGCTGTTTCACCACTCTCAGCCCAAACAGGTCAACACACTGATGGACTGCGGGTCTGATCAACAGGAGATTACTGATGGTGACTCTCCTTCAGTAGAACTGATGCAACAGAGCTGTAAACACTTTAGCAAATTAGCAGGAAATGTTTTTGGTGGTTTGCCACATGTTTTTTCGAATAGTTTAATTTATTGCTGGCCAAACTTACCAAACCCGGCTCATTTTGTCTAAAGTTGAACTAAACACTAAACTTTTGTTTTCTACTAAACTGTAGTAATGCACTGATCCAGCTTTTACAGTAAAGACACTGATTTCGATGTTGTAGCTTTAAGTATCTGTCAACACCAAATATCAACCGGTACCAGTGTAAGGACTGTAAACAGCATTTGTTTCCCTTAAACAAAAATAAAATAAGACAAAACTGACCCAACTGTGTTTTGCAGCTGTTATTTATCCCTCAAGTAACTACAGAACAACTTGGCATAAATAAAAAAATTAAGATATTGAGGCTTTCTGGGCCAACAATGGCCATAAATAGTCTTATTACATAAATTTATATGTCCAACAAGGATATCGACTGAATATTTGGAAGCCGATATCCGATTTACCTAATTTTTTAGTATATGTGCCAATATCCGATACTGGTATCAGATATTCTCAGATTCTAATGGCAATTTAATAGCACCTGGCTGCATAGGTGGAGTTTGAAGTGCGTGATACCGATCATACTATTTCTTTTCCTATATCTCAGACCCCGCCCCTCCTCCCCCTCACTCCTTTTTTAGTCCTTCAGCTAATGCCCAGTTTAGCAGCTCTATTTGGTTGTAGGAGGACTTTAGGTGTTCAGTCACATTTGAATCACTAATTGCAGATGATAAATTTGCCCAAAAATAGAAAAACATCATTACTAATATCATTCATAGCCTACCTTATTTCTGTCTTGAACAACCAGAACCTTTCCATTTGACTCGTCAACAACTGCACCTAGGAAAGGTAATAAAAATATAAATATTAATCACACAAGTTAAGCAGGTTAATCAGCATTAAACACAATGAAGAAGTGTACTGTGGTTTACTGAATTCCCTCACCATTTCAAATATCAACAGTTATATGGACATAGTTTATCACAGAGTAATTTAACACATAACTTGTTGGTCTCACAGTGATTTCTGTCAGTGGTTGCGGTTACACGCAGATTTCTGGAGTTGTCAGATTATTAAAATGACATGTAAATCTGATGCGGGTCTGAACAGGTGTTGCAATTTTCATGACATTTCAATAATCCTACAGCTCCAGAATTTGGAAAAAATCAGATTTTTATGTGTATTAGGGTTGTCAAAAGTATTGAAAATCAGATAATAATCAATGCTAAAACTAGATACTCATTTCAGCAGGTATCAATACTAAAAAAGTAATATTCACAGGACAGAAATGAACCTTTCCTAAATATAAAACCACATGGAAATGTAAAAAAGTACTACAATTTACTGTTGAAAATTACATTCTACTGCCCAAATAAAAACAGTTTTTTTTTTAAAATTATCATCATGATATCAGAATCTGTCTTGAGTATATTCCTTAGTATCAAAATCGAGTTTGAAATTTTAGCATCGTGACTACATTAGTGTGCATGTAAACATAGCCAGTGAATTTTGTTTTTATGCAATTTAAAATGTTGTTAAAATTATGTTATTACTAAAATTATTAATTTGAATTGTGAATTATTTAAATGACTTCCGATTTATATAACTGGTCACAGATTACACTTTTCCCACTGCAGGAATTCTAATAGCTACGCTTTCTCTCTGTCTCATTCCTTGGTATTTGGTGATCACAGGACATCATCTGCTAACTCCCCTTCTGTTGGAGTGACTTTCAGGTAGTGACTAAGGAAGTACACAAATTGATGTCCCAGATGTGGACAGTGGTGTAGCTCATGTTAAAGACTGACACTAAGTTGGACCAGTGAGAGGAAAATGACGTAATATGGCCTCTGTGCCATATGGCTCTTCACTGATGATGCAGTCTATCATTAAGTATAGTGTTGGTTAAAGAAACTACATGCTCACTGAAAATGTGCAAGAGCCTTCCTAACTTAATGAGTCCAAGAGTAATCAAGAGCGATGGCTTGGCTTCAAGACTTTTTTTTAATAATCTACAACTACAAAAACATAATTTCTGTAACTCTGTTTTTCTGCTTTGAAATGTAAAATGTTAAATAAATCACAATAATATACACATACAATAATTCAAATAAATAATGCTATGGTGTTTGTTTTAAAGTGAGTAATTTTGTGTTTTCCTTTTGCTCCCATTCAGACTTGTTTTTTACAGATGCACTATGTAACTTTTCATGTATGGGTCTGCCACCTGCTTGTCTCCATGGAGATGTAATTGCCATGCCTGGTATGTTCCAAAGTATTAACATTAAACTTATCTATCGCAGTGTTTTTGAGCAATAAATGTATACATGCAAGATATGTGTCTGCCATGTATTTGGAACATACCAGGCAAAGCAACAACTTCTCCACTGGAAATGTTACATAGTGCACCTTTAATTAAAGGTGAGAAAATGCCCTTGTGTTTTCCAGATAAATTTGATTTGTAGTGATGGAGGTCGGCTGTTACTTAACATTTGATTTGCCAAGTTATTACAATGGATTTCATCATGCCCATCATCATCATGCCCGTGGACAATGGACATGTTCTGACATGATCCAAAAGGACCACAGTTGATAAGAACAAACTGTACTCTGCCCTCTGGTGGGTGGTTAGACACATTACTTCAGATTTGGCACAATACTGACTCCAGTGAAATCATCATGGCTTTTATATTTCCCCAATATATTATACAGGAAAACTAGAGATGTCAACCTGTAAATTATTCCACCTTGTCCAGCATAAAACAAAACTAGAAATGTATTTAAATACTTAGGGAAGACCCAGGATACACTGGAGGGACTATGTCTCTTGGCTGGCCTGGGAATGCCTTGGGGTCCACCCGGAGGGCTGGAGGAAGTCTGGGAGTCCCTGCTTAGACTGTTGCCCGCACGACTCGGCCCCGGAGAAGCGGAAGAAAATGGATGGGTGTATTTAGGTGTAAATCAGGTATTCTTACTCCTCAGCCTTTTTATGATACATTTGCTTGGTTTGTAACATTTTACTCCTTCCCTTATAAGATGTATGTTAATGTGAATTATTAAAGCTCTGTACCTGCGACTCCTACTTGATGAGTGGCGAAGCCTGGGAGCCGGCTCTCGCCCTCTCGGAGCCACAGAGCCATGACAATGTGGTGGGATTTGGCGTGATGGAAGGTGAAGCCCTGTGTAGAGGCAGCAGCTGCACATCTGCTCAGAGAGATGGGGATATTGAGCCAAACTGCCACTTTCTCCTCTGCCCTCCACTGCACCAATGAGTCTGAGGAAAAAAAGGTACAATTTAACCATGTTGCACTTCATATATTGGAGAAAGAGATGTCACCTAGCTCATAGTAAGATGTTTTTCAAGGTATGTTTGAGCTGCAAAAACTCCTGTAATGCAAGATAAATGGCATATTATGGAACATTCAAGGCAAGAAATAACATCTTCATGGGGACAAGCAGGTGGCGGTGGATAAGTCTCCATTATTAAGGTGCAATAAAACACTTAAAGATGCACTGTCCATGAAAATGTTACTGCTTTGCATATGTTTCTCAGGATGACATTAAATGTATTTATTCCAATGGAGGTAAATCAGGACAAATTATAGATCAGTAGAGCTGGAATTAGGGGTGTGCAAAAGTATCTAAATATTGATATATTGTATTGTTTAAGGGTCAGGAGCTCCGGGTAATGTTGAAAGGATGAGATTGCGGATACAAGCGATCGAAATGAGTTTCCTCCACAGTGTAGCTGGGCGCTCCCTTAGAAATAGGGTGAGGAGCTCAGTCACATGAGAGGAGTTCGGAGTAGAGCCGCTGCTCCTCCACGTCGAAAGGAGCTAGCTGGCTTGGGCATCCGTTCCAGATGCCTCCTGGGTGCCTCCCTCAGGAGGTGTTCTGGACAAGCCCCAGGGAAGACCCAGAACACACTGGAGGGACAATGTCCCTTGGCTGGCCTGGGAATGCCCTGGGGTCCACCCGGAGGAGCTGGAGGAAGTGTCTGGGGAGGGGGAAGTCTGGGGGTCCCTGCTTAGACTGTTGCCCCTACGACCCGGCCCTGGATAAGCAGAAGAAAATGGATGGATGGATTGTTTAATGTGATGATACAGTATCAATATCATGTGCTGCTGTATAGATATATTGCCAAGAGTATGTTTTGGTATATTTTACAATATTATTTTGTTACAGAGCTACAGTTTTGTTGTTTGTTCAGAGGAAGGAAGCTTGTTCATGCAACACATGACACTGACATTTTCACTGTTTTGATGATTAAAATGGGTGTGTTTCATATTACCTTTGCACAAGAAGTGGTTTAACAAAGACTTTTAGTATCACAGCCATGATTTAGTTACTATTTTTTACTGAACCATATAGAATCGATTAAAAATATATCATAACGTATTGAATCAAAAGCTATTAACAACTTCTTAATGTTAGCCAGTCCTAGTAGGAATGTGTTTTTTCCAAGTAACAAAAAACAAACACAAAGCCTTCTGCAGTACGCATGTTGATGGATACTTTGAGGGGGAACAAAAAAAGGTTGAGACAGGGAATTATTGGTCTCTGTTATTTGTGTATGTATATGTGATTAAGTAATGACATGCATTTTACTGAAGTCCAACACGAAGCACCTGTTTTGTCAACAAAGCTTTCTCTTCTCAGGGGTAAGTTTGCTTTTCCGCTGGTGAGGTCTTAACACACATACCATGGAGTATTCTACTAAATGCGTCCTCGCTTATGTCCTCTGGTACGCTGCTGTCACCCAAGTCCACTGTCACCCCTCCGAACCGATCCACTTTGCCAGTGAGAGCGCTGGGACCCTCCGTCTTCTGCAGCTGACAGGAGGCCACCGAATATGAAAGTGGACGGACAAATTTGCGTGTAGGACAGGTCGCGACTCCTCTAAACGTCCTCCCAAGCAAGGTTAAAAATCTACAGTTCAAAACTAAGGCTGACATATCGAATCTATACACAGAAATACAGTTTTATTAGTAATACTGTCTAATGTACAACGTACATGCACAGAACAGCTAGCAGGCTACGTCCGCCCTGGAAGTTTCATAAGTACCGTAAATAAGAGATAATAGAGAAAGCTTAATCTACACAAACTAGCAATATCCAATAACTATGGCATATTTGACACATATTGTGGTACACAATATTGTAAATAATCCTTCTGATTTCGTTTACTAACTTTAACTACTATAAAACGTATATTTGGAGTTAATTAACAACATTTGCAACCAACTTTTTTATGTTTACGGTAAAATAGGGCGGGCTTAAGCGCCAACCCGGAAGTTTACGGCACGGTGTCGTGTTTACACATGTCTTCGCTTTCACGTGGAGAGGATTTTTAGTTTTAAAATGTCTTCCAAGAAAAATAAAAGCAAATCCAAAAGAAATAGTGAGGCGGACAGTTCCCTTGGGCTACAGGAAGAGGTTTCACGTGATTCTTCAGGTCAAAGCTTGAAAAATAGCAACGTATTCACTGTCATCGACTTCATTGAAAAAGGTTTGAAAATGTCTTCTATCAAAAAATAATATTTGTTTTATAATTTGGAGTTGTATTTGATGTTTAGCAGATTTAGGTATAATTTCACAAAGATGCAATGAATTCACGATGTTTCTTTACTTTTCCTCACTGATGCTTACTGGTCCAGGATGTGAGTTGATGATGTGCACTAGGCTACGCTCAAGATGTCTGAAAAAGGGAAAAAACAAAACAAAATTTGATGTCAACTTTAAATATATTAATTCCAATTGAACAGAAAAAATATGTAATTATTTTGGAGTACTTTTTTTGCATCCTTCAACCTCTTTGGTCTTAAGATCCTGATGACTCCAATGTGCATCTTGTCTCTGCAAATAGCTACCGTAGCTTGTTATGCATCAGTGTAATTCGGAAAGTATAGAATGTAATTCAGTGGAAATTTTTTGTAAGAAAAAAAAATCGGTCTAGTAATGGAAAGTGAATGAGCATTTGAACAAAAGTCTGAAAAAAGTTTAAATGCAGGAGCAAGTGAACAAAATTCACTAACTCTGAATATTCTATGGCATTATTATGGACAGTGAATGTAATGATAATCTTTTTGTGTGTCATTCTCCCACAGCCGATGACAAAACCCCTAAAAGCTGCAGATCATGGCTTGCCCAAATGGGACTCAACTCGATGAAAGCTGCCAAAGTGTGTATAGGTCGACCGGTACTATTGACCAGCTCTGTTGGACAGGACGTAAGCACACGCTGGACTTGTTGTCTTCCTTGTAGATCAGCTGGAGATGTATTTCTTTTAGGGCTGTAAACTTAATCACAATCAAATCAAAATCACAATTTGAATGGACACATTTAGCATTATCATAATTCTCTCCACAAACCACAAAATATCTTATTCTGAATTAAAGCTGCTCAAACTATAATTAAAAAAGCATGTTCTGAAATTTGATCTTTGCATGGAGCTCAACAGTGACCACTTGCTCTGATTCCAGAAGTAAATTTTCCCTTAATTTTTTCCAAAGATTTTTTGAAAAATTAAAATATTAAGAGTTCAAAGGCATCATGAACCCTAACCAGCTGCATGCTAACTAGTGGTTATTAGTTACCATATACCTAATTAGACTTGAGCAAGCTTTCGGACTTTGAATATGCATTTTTTACAGAAAGTCTATGAGAAAAATTAATGAGAAATTACTGTCACTATCACACTCACCGTTGAGCTACATTAGTTTAAACAGAAACCTGTTATTAAAACTATAAATCACAAATTTATTCGCAAATCGCAATAGCCCTAATTTGTGGTCCATCAGGTGTGTCTGGGCTGGCCTGTTGCGTTGTTCCCTGGTGGAAAGGTGGGGCTGCAGAAGTGTGCTCTTAGTAACCTGAGGGTGAAGCAGGGAGAGCAGGTGACAGTGGAGCCTGTGACCGGACCAGTGCTTCAGGCCACAGAGGTGCTTCTCTCCACCAGGTACCCTACACCACAAAGCGAGAATTGATGATTGTGTTTGTTTTTTTGCCATCTATATATCTTAATTTACATGCACACAACAAATTCATATAGATGGGTAGTATTGAGTTACATTTACTTTAGTAACTTGTGTATTTCTCAAAGTAGTAGTGTACTTATACTTTTACTCCTATTTGAGTAATATTTAATTTGAATCTACCCCCCTCTGCTGCTGTACCAGTCTTTAGTCCCCAGAAAACCTTTTTTTCTTGTTAAAGGCTGCCATCTGCTGACATATACTTGCAACTGCATTCACTGTCACTAAAACATTTCTCAACTAATTTTAGGTCAAAGGACGACAAACTTGACACAGATGAATTCAAAAACTTTTTTTTACGATCTTTAGGTAAGTTAACCCTTTCACTAAATATATAAGTTTTCTCTTTATATGGCAATTTGAGTCCTCATTGTCCTTTTAATGTATACATTTTGTTATACGTGAACCAAAGCAATTGAGAATACAATATTATTAGCCTGCTGACAAGTATACTGGATAAAAATATTACATAAACAAACAGAGTGAATACATAAATAACGATTTTGTCTTCTCCAGATGGAAACATCATTCTTCCCGGTAATGTTGTTTCTCTGAGTTTCTTTGGTCGCTCGTGCAGTCTGCAAGTAGAGAGCATCCGGGGAGAGAATGGAGTGACCCTGCAGAGACCCGCTCCTCTTCTGGGACAGGACACTGAGACTGACCAATCCTCTGTAGACCCCCCTATACTGGACTGCACTTCTGCTGACCTGTCCCTACAAATGAGTTTGCTCAACGTAGACGACATTGAACCACACACACCAAGCTCAGGCGGAGACATCTGCCCCACAGCAAGCACCCCTCGTCGGACTGCACCCCTCCCTTCTCTTTCATCACCCCTACCTCCTCATACACCATCCTACAACTCCCAGAACGCACCTGCAGATGTACAAGAGAGCCCATTGAACTTAGACCAAGCTGGAGCGTGTCCTACAGCTCCCCCCGGTGGTGTCTTTAGTACAGACACTTTCTACTGCCTTTCATGCACCACTAAAGTGAGTTTCAAAGACAGGGCAGCTCAGAGTGATACAGAAGAACAATCCAAAAGCACAAGAATTAGTTATAGCATGATTGGCGGGCTCAGTAACCAATTAGATGTTATCAGGGAGACGATTGAGCTTCCACTGAAAAATCCAGAGCTGTTTACAAATTATGGTAGGTGACTGTCTTGCCAAGAAATTGTATACATGTTAGGGTTATTTTAAAACCTACTCCTGTCATTCCAGGTATCCCACCCCCACGAGGAGTTCTGCTGTATGGGCCCCCGGGAACGGGGAAAACTATGATTGGTCGAGCTATAGCCAATGAAGTGGGAGCTTATATGACTGTGATAAACGGACCAGAGATTATGAGCAAGTAAGATTAAAAGATAAATATTCATTTATTAAAATATATTTATTTTAATCCTCCCCCCGGGGGAGCTGGAGGAAGTGTCTGGGCTGAACGAAGTCTCGGAGTGCCTGCTTAAACTGCTGCCCCCGTGTCCCGGCCTTGGATAAGCAGAAGAAAATGGATGGATGGATAAAATATATTTATCGCTCCCTCATCAGTGTCTTTTGGGTTTCATATCTCAAATATTCTGTAGTTGTTGGATGATTATTTGTAATATAAATATTCAAGCCACACTATTTAAAATTTTCATCTGGATTTTTTCTTGACTAGATTATTATTAATACAGAGATGTTAACTTCTGTCCCCATTCAAGAGATTTACATGATCACATTATGTATACTGAGTATATTATTATTACCCATTCTTGAAAATAAGAACAAAAAATAACATGACATTTTTGATCAAATTAATTTCTATGTTTCCTTTCCAGATTTTATGGTGAGACTGAAGCCAGGCTCCGGCAGATTTTTAGCGAAGCTTCTCAAAGGTAAACCTTGCAGTGTTGCCCGACAATTGCATCATCTTTGTGTTCTATGTGACGCAAGTCAATACAGGCCCACTTTAGCAAATTAGGCAGTTAACACCACATGCTGTCATACTGTGTTTTAGCAGTATCCCAGAATATCAGCTTGTATTTAAATTTACAACAAAGCAATTAAATATTATTATTTATTTTATTATTTTTAAAATGATTATTTTGTTTATTATTTTTATATTTTTTGTTTCATTTTGCATTTGGTAAATTTGTTTGTCACTTTAACAAGATGGAAATTTTTGTGCTAAGTACATACATATGCTCTAGTGTTTTTTTTTTTTTTTATTACCCATCTGTTTTTGTAGTGAATGCATCCATTGTTGTACTTTGAAGTTTAAGAAGATAAATGCATGACTGTTTTTCCTCTCTCTCCTCTCTCCTGATACAGACGGCCGGCTATAATCTTCATTGATGAACTGGACGCCCTCTGTCCAAAGAGAGAGGGAGCGCAGAATGAAGTGGAGAAACGCTTGGTGGCATCTCTTCTCACTTTGATGGATGGAATTGGTTCGGTAATTGAACATTACACAGTGTAATATATGAAGGAAACTGTCTGCATAACCTGCGTCTATCCCCTTTTGGAGTAATATATAATCTTAAACCATTCTATAGAATGGAAAATAGCCAACTGAAAATACCTTAAAGCGGATCTATTTTGCAAAATCAACTTTTTAAAGGTTTTAATCATGTTATAGTTCTTTCTCCTTCTCATTTACCCTCTTGAAGTTGTATTTAGCATGATTTATGCATGTTTAAGTAGTCTTTACACTCCTGTATGCAAAACGTCATTGCTTCATTGCATATGTTCTTAATCAGTGATAGCGTGAAAAAAAAAAATTGCTACTCACTAGCTTGCCCAGCAGCTATCCATAGAAAGGGGCCCACAACTCTGTGGCTCTTGGATGTGATGATGCATAAGGTGACATCTCCCACTAGTCATTGCAAGTCAGGAGACACCTTTTTTATGTTGTTTTACATCAATACATTTTTAATGTTCAAATTATAATGTAATCATCCACAGATGACATAGATTATAACTTTATAGCAAATACACACACTGTACGTCTTCTGTAAATCTGTAACAACACACATTGGTGTTATTTTCTAGATACTGAAAGACAATTATATTCACAATTTTATTCACAAGTGCTATTGTATATTATATTTGGCTTTTAATGTACCACCAGGACTAGACCAACAATAAATCTGGACAAGGTCAGATCTAAAACTGGACTAAAATAGACAAAATCTCAGACTGAAAAAAGTAAACCAGACTTAAATCAGATGATTTTTTTTTTCCATTAAGGATGCAACAGTAGATTGGATGGAATAACGCACTGATCACTATGTCATTAGCAATGGTTTTCAAACTAATATCACTCATATTAGAAAAGCAGACAATGGGACAGGAAGCCATCTTTATTTGCTGGATGCATTTCAAAGTGCTTATGTTGTGTCCCCTGAGTATCATAATTTTTCTTTGCCTTGTCAAGACCTCTCTGGAAAAAAAACATGGCTTCCTATAACAGCCAGTCAGAGCCTGAGAAAAAGACAATTTCAGGTTACTGTGACCTGACTGTAGACACTGCAGGACACAAGCCATTTGTTTCTTTGTACTCCAATAATAATGCATTTCATGTATTTTCCAAACTTGTCTGTAGTGATTAGTTCCTGGCATTTTCCCTTTAAGCATTCTTTGTACAACTGTAATTTATTAGCATATTTCAATTCTCCCTGTGGTATTCAAATCTGGGAAAAATATTCTCCAGCTTGCTGCCAGACCATGCTAACATACTCTGCGCTGGCTTTATCAAATCATGGCCAAAACATGAAAATGAGGAAGTGAAATTCTCAGTGTGGTTTTTGGTCTATAGTGATAATAAAACAACTGTAATTAGCACTTTGTTCCAGCTTTGAGGCACTGTGTTGAATTTCATAGCATCCGTGATGAGGTTGCAGATTTCAGCTGTCATTCTGGTGTTTGCTTTGCCAGAGCCCATAAGAGCCCACTTCCTCTGTAATTATAGACTAGAGAGAGAGAATACTTCTGTAGTCATGTCACTGCACAGAAGACCAGGGCAGCACTGACAAACATTACAGAGAGAGGCTTTCAAGGTGCCCAATGTCACATGTGTGTTATTGAAAAAATGCATCGGGTTCTAAATTCAAGAGCTTTACAGTACTACTACCACAACATCTTATTCACATTTGTAGTTTTGCTTCAAGGCAGAGTGACAGTACAGATGGGAGAGATTCCCGATAACTAGGCACGATGGTAGTTCAGTTGTTGGGATGTTTGTTTACTGATCTGAAGGTTGGCAGTTCGAATCCCGCTCTCAACATAGACATTGTCGGCAGAGCAGTCAGATCAGACTGACCCACAGATTGGTGGTATGATTTCAGCTCCTACAAATGAATGTTGTTGTTTCCTTGAGCAAGACACTTAACCCTCGCCCTCATTGTCTGTGTACACTGGTGTATGAATGTGTGTCTGTGAATGAGTGGTTCCTTGAAGGTGGAAAAGCGCTATATAAAATGTGACCATTTACCATTTAATTATATCCAGAGGACATTATTCTTTAAAAACTTTGAGTTGAGGTTTTTTTTAAGCATAAGACAAATGTAAAATGACTGTAAAATGTACCCACAAAAGTGAAGGAATACCACTAGAGCCTACTTGGAAGTTTAAACATATGTTCATCTTCAAAACAACATTCATGGTATTATATTTCAATGATCTACCCGGCTCTAATAACAGTATGCTAGAATGAAAATGTCTCTACCAATTGAGTTACCACATTGGTATATACATGCTATAACAAATGATTGTAGAAAAACTATACATATTTCCTATTATTATAATTTTGTAACTTTGCATTTTTTCTGTGCTTTAGGAGGGACACTCAGGTCAGCTGTTGGTTCTCGGAGCCACAAATCGACCCCATGCCCTTGACCCTGCTCTTCGTCGACCAGGGCGGTTTGACAAAGAATTGGAGGTGTGTACTAAAGTGGTGATTCTCTCTTTTTTAATTTTTTATTAAATTTTATTATAACAGCATGATTGTTATACCAGGTTCGATAGAAGACTCTACTTAGACAAATTTATAGCTAATTCATGTACAAATGGATATTAAACCTGGAATCAAACAAGGATAGTCAAACATGTAGTGCCATGAGAAACGTAGTGTCCAATATATGCAATCAAATGAACACCTGAAGTATACAAATTCAGTTAGTTACGCGAGCAAATGAATAGTTAGTATGAAATTTAGAGGATAGTGGATGTGTAGTCTTTAACTCTGATGCCCTGGTCAGGTGGGTGTCCCTAGTGCGGTGGAGAGAGCAGACATTTTGCAGAAGTTGTTGCACATGGTTCCTCACAGCGCCTCAGTGGAGGATCTGACCCGACTGGCAGAGAGTGCTCATGGATATGTGGGAGCAGACCTGGCAGCTGTCTGTAAGGAAGCTGGTATGTATTTACACAGTACACAACACTATACACCACTGGCTTCATTTGGAGATGGCACCTTAACTTATATCTTATATTTGTGTAATGCCTCACTCATCCAGGTAGGTTCCATAGTGGTCCATGGGTGTATACAAGTCTGTGTTAGTCTCATACTTGTTCTGATAAAGCTCATTTTAAAGCTATTCAGGTTCATTTCTGTCCTGTGAATGTGACTTTTAGTATCGATGCCTGCTCAAATGAGTACCTAGTATTTGATTTTTGATACTTTTGGCAGTCCTTCCAAATGACCCATCTCCAATGTCAGTGACATTTCTCCCAAACAAATTGTCTGCATAAAAGGAAACATGACCTGTTGATGCACATAACGTCAGCATTGCCACTTTGTAGTAATAGTAGTAGTATTCAAACCACAATATTAGATCTCTCTTCTAAAGTATCAATGTGACCAGAGCCATTTCTTTGGACACAGTGACACATCCCTCCTTCCTTTGAACAGCCCTGGTCTACCACTCTTTGTTGGTTGTCCTGGAGGAAGTGAGGTTTGTGTGCTAGCTGCAGAAACCACTCAAACCACCACTTGTTGTGAAATTCCTCTGCCCCCTTTACCCCTGACCCACTCCCCACACATGGAGATGCATCGCGTGTGTGCAGCTTGTTGATGTGAACTCAAGTGAGGGATGAGAAAAGGTTACGCAGCCATAATTGTACTTAATAGTATTGATGCCTGCAGAATAGTTTTGTAAGATTAGTCTCAATTAAACCAAATTCGTAACTTGAATTGGTAAATGGTGAAATCTGCAGTTATTGTTTCTTTTGTATTAAAGGTACACTAGGTCTGTCACAATAATTACTATATCAACTTATCATTCAGTGTATGAAAGCAGGCCTTCAGTTGTGCTGTATTTAATTGATTTATTGGGATTATTCTTCTTTGTGTCAGTGGCATAATGTCCAAATCCAAATCCACTTTATTTCTATTGCACATTATACAAACAAAGCAGTTTCTAAAATGTTGCAGAGTAGTTTCAGTATTATCATTTATCACAATATTTGTCTGTTGCGATATACCGTGCTTCAGAATGTGTTGTTGGGACAGGCCTAAGTTACATTACATTATGTATCTTTTCTGGTTGAGAGTCTTGGTACCTGCCTCTCTCCATGAAGATGCTATTCCTTTGCCTGGAATGTTCCACAGTGTAACATTAAACATATCTATTTTGCATTGATTTTATTATAGGATTTAATTATCTTGAAAACATGCATTCTTACACACTGGCCAGGCTTGTGTCTTCATAAATCTGACCTGTAATTTGGTCATGTGTCATCACCTGCCTGACTTCACGGAGATAATATAATCAATTAATAATGAAATACTGTAAAATACAAAGCAATAGTAATGTCCATATTGAGACAAGCAGATAGCATACCCTCAGCATGAAGTTACATAGTGCATCTTTAAATATTGTTGCAGCATTGTGGCAATTTTAGATGATACGTTATAATTGAAATTTTGTATACCTTTCAATGATTGATGATTTCAATATCTCTGACCTCTTCTAGCTACAATTGTCAAAAGTATCGAAATTCAATGCTAAAGTTGGTATTGAAAGTTGAGACTCAATTGAGCGAGTATCAGTATTAAAAAAATAACAAAAAATAACACAAATGGGACAAAATAGTGACTTTTCTGAACAGTCGATGATCAGAAAAGATCTTCATTAGAACTTGTATAATACCATATAGTAGCATAAGAAAGTCCTGTTTCTATTCAAAATTATAAGTTTAAAATTCTAAACATATTCCATTATATTGGTAGCAACTTTACATTTTTGTATTGTGACAACAGTACTTAATAATGCCAATTTGCGTTACAAATTTGTGCACTGTCAATTGAATCTAGGTATTAAACATAAATCTCAGCTATGTTTGCCCCAACATTCAGCTCAACTTTGAAAACAATAATTAGTCCTGATAAAACTCCTGAGGTAGTCGCCTCTCCTGCACCTCTGGATGTGATTAGCAGTTTGTTTTTGGGTGACCCTCTGGCCTCCTGGGTGGTCCGGGCGCTGGGCTGTGTGTGGCGGATTGCATTTCCAGTGGTGGAGGGAGCCGTACGGAAGCGCAGAGGAGAGCCGTGTGATTTAGTGTCCCGCACAGGGATAGACGTGACTGCTGCTGTTTTCTGAGAACCCTCGTGTCGTCCCACGGGGAGACAACAACCTCCACAACCCCGCCGGACCCTGCCTCGTTCCCCCCGAAAATCTGCCCGAGCCAAATCACTGAGCAAACACGGGCTGCACAAGGATACCACAGGAGAATAGACTGATTCAAAGTTTCCAGTCGCTCATGGGCTTTGCAACATCAGGATAACAACCTCACTGCATGCATGTTTGTGCAATGTGTGGACATAAAAGAGGTGATAAAAAGTCTTACTTAAAATGAAGAACTTGGCTGTGAACATCAGCTTGGATTTCATCTGGTTTGTTTGGCCGTTTTTGGAAACCTGCCATTTAAACCTGTCTTGTATGTCCAAGATATGTGCTGTAAGCGGTGGTTGGAGGATTGATTCCAGCTTGGATCAAGTTCTGTAGTTGGCAGGACACTTCACCCACATTCCCTAGTATGAAAGTGGTGTGTGCATGAGTGATTAGTGGTGGTCAGAGGTGCCATACAGCAGAATTGCGTTGTTTTTTTCAACTGTATGGATCAATCACTAATTTCAGTTGTACTATTTATTTATTTTTATCAAGACAATGTTTCTTTCAGTCATAATTCATTCAGCATAGACAAGAAAGTCTTATAATCTGTCTCATTTAACTAACTCTAATAATAATACTAATACCACCAAAGTTTGAATTAATTGCATTTACACCTCTCAATAGAAATGGCTGAATTTATATTATTAAAATCCCATTAATTTCATAACCCTAACATCTGTACAAACCCCATTTTGTTTACCTGGATGTCCACGTTGCATAGAAGCCTGTATAAATACACAGAGCAGGCCCTGCACAATGCACACATGATCAGAATGTGTTTTTTCCTCCTCTTTTATTAAGAGGAACAAAGCTGTTTGGGGACCACAGTTGTTTCCTCGTGGCGCTCGGGTAACAATGAGCCACCGGGCCGATATACTGCAGACACACGGCTTCCTGAGACATACAGATGTAGAGACAGCATCACAACAGCAGCAGCACGCGAGGGTCAGGTGAACTCCTCCAGAACTATTGGCTCTGTACAGCTGCTGATGTGCACTGTGGCATTTCACTCATAACATATACTAGGACATAATTACTGGAGCAAGGTATAGCTGAATTATTTTTCAGACTAGATTTGTGATTTATATTTTAATAATGGGATTCTGTTCAAAGTTCACATCTTAAACATGAACAGAAGAATTGCCTAAAAGACTGAAACATGAACTCACAAACTTATACGAATCACATTTCAGAATAGATTTGTACAGATCTAAACTACTGGATTAGTGGGACATTTTATTGTTTGTAGTTAAAATTATGTCTTTGTGATTTGCTAGTTGTGTCCAGTCAAATTGCAGTTCGATTCAGTTAGGATTATTGTTACAGCTCTAGATCAAGGGTCAACATAATGCTATAATTTCAAAAGAATGAATACAAACCTTACTGGTCAGTGTTGAATCCGTAATATTGAATGAACTGAGTGTATTAGGGTTGTATGTCTTGTTAACTTCATTATTCCAGTTCAAAAAGTTAGCACTGAATTTGCTATAACACAAATAACATAACAATTCATCCCTTTTCTGAAGTGTCACTAGATTGCATTACATTCAACTCAGTTATTGTTCTCAGTGTAGTGCCCTCTGGTGGGCAAATGTCAAAGTTGCAGGGTTACGTTTTAAAACATGTAATTGCCCACACTCCAGGCTCTCACATTCAAATCAAGAACTAGACTTCTTCCTATCTGTAACTGGCAATGTTAGATAAATGTCATGACTGAACTTGAAACATGTACATTTTAAAAGTGTATAAATGTATCAATTAGCAAAGCTGATGTTTTTATAAAAAAAAAAAAAAAAAAAAAAAAAAATATAAATATATATATATATATATATATATATATATATATATATATATATATATATATATATATATATATATATATATATATATATATATAAACATGATATTATTGTACTAATTATGTATTCATTAGTTACTGTTATAGATTATCATTTAATTTCATAATAACAGCCTTTTTTACACTTGCATAGTTGTTACATTGAAGTTTTTACATTTTACCATTTTGTCATCATCACATGTTCCCTGGAGCCTGGAAGTGTCCGGGCGTCTCTCTGTCGTCTTGTAGCTGTATAACTGATCCAGATGACTCATTTCCACAATATAAACAGTGTCAGTGTGTGTGTGTGCTTGCACGCACTCGTTTGTGTGTGCGTTTGTGTGTGCTTGTGTGTTTTTGTGTGCGCCTGTTTAGCCTGTGCCACATCCGGAGCCACTGTTTACAAGCCTCTCCAAACAAGGGGAAGCCCGCTGCAACAAAAAGGCCAGTAAAAATTGATTAAGTGCAATAATAAACATGAGCTCCGGGCTGAAAGCTTTTGGGCTGGACTGGTACTTTACAGGAAATAGGTAGACGTGATTTTTAGCATCTAGTCAATTTGAAAAGAAAATGGACCAAATTAGAGTCAATGAATGTTTGTAATTGTTTGATTGACATGACAGGACCCTTTTGACTTGTTTTGTACATACCTCTCTAATTGCATTTGTTTGTATAGAATAGATAATTTCCCCATTTTTTGCTCTGTATTGTAGGCATTGCAAATTGGGATGTGAAATAATGTATAATAGTGATTTTTCAAGCATTACGGTTGATTGCCTAGGAGTTTTCAATATTTGGGAGAAGACTGAAATTTAAACTGCTAACTAACTGGTAGTTTGTTTTTCAAGGCATTTATTTATCATATTTTTTGGACAATAAGTCACACTTTTTTCATGGTTTAGGTG